ATCATTATTGCTTTTTAAAAAAAATTGCAATAACCACTACACAAATGATATTTACTGTCTAAAATGACTGAAAATTATAAGGATTTTTAAGAGATATGAATACAGAGGTAGACAGTTTCGTAAACAAGTATAAAGATGTAGTTTTCAGGCTTTGAAATGCCTTTGAGGATAAAATAATTTGAATTATTCAACAAAACAGGTTTCTCTCGTCAGATTTTTTAGCGATAACGGCACAGACTTATAATATAGGTGAGAGGCCTACTTTAGCCTCATTTTCATTTCAAACTTGTATAATAGGTAAGACATACATGTAGACAACATTCCCACACTATCTCTGTATATGTGAAATTTATACTGGTTTTCATGTAAATGCCATCCCTGTTTTGATGTGATATTTATTTTTTGTATGTTTATTGAGGTTTTTGAATATATTACATATGCATAGCGACATATCTCTCTGAAAATGAGCACCTCCTGTGTAGTCTTTGGAACCTCACTTTGCCATTCAGACCATTTCATGAATGAAAGCTCATGTTCTTCACATGTTATATCATAAATTATTTATATTCTTTTTTATGTTTTCATTTTTCAAAGATTTAGTCTATAAAACAACTCATATACACTTTGACTTATAAATTTAAAGAGAAGTCATCAATTTTCTATTCAGTAGTTTGATTTAACAAAACATTCATTTCTGTCTGATGTTCTAAGTAGCCATTTGTAAATGCATTTCAAAGTGGGATTCTGTCTTTTTTTTTCCTGTTATAAGCTGATGGGACCTAAACATTGCCTCTGTTCCACAGTCAGGTGATGGGCTTATTACAGGACCTTAGGGACCTAAACATTGCCTCTGTTCCACAGTCAGGTGATGGGCTTATTACAGGACCTTAGGGACCTAAACATTGCCTCTGTTCCACAGTCAGGTGATGGGCTTATTACAGGACCTCAGGGACCCTCCAACATTGACCTCTGTTCCACAGTCAGGTGATGGGCTTATTACAGGACCTTAGGGACCTAAACATTGCCTCTGTTCCACAGTCAGGTGATGGGCTTATTACAGGACCTTAGGGACCTAAACATTGCCTCTGTTCCACAGTCAGGTGATGGGCTTATTACAGGACCTTAGGGACCTAAACATTGCCTCTGTTCCACAGTCAGGTGATGGGCTTATTACAGGACCTTAGGGACCTAAACATTGCCTCTGTTCCACAGTCAGGTGATGGGCTTATTACAGGACCTTAGGGACCTAAACATTGCCTCTGTTCCACAGTCAGGTGATGGGCTTATTACACGACCTCAGGGACCTAAACATTGCCTCTGTTCCACAGTCAGGTGATGGGCTTATTACACGACCTCAGGGCCCTAAATATTACCTCTGTCTCACAGTTGGTGTGGGCTTATTACACGACCTCAGGGCCCTAAATATTACCTCTGTCTCACAGTTGGTGTGGGCTTATTACACGACCTCAGGGCCCTAAATATTACCTCTGTCTCACAGTTGGTGTGGGCTTATTACAGGGATTCAAGGAAATTAAACATTTCCTCTGATTTATAGTTAGGTAGTCTTATTACAGGACCTCAGTGTACCTACACATTTGCTCTGACTCAGTCTGGGATGGTCTTATTACAGAACCCCAGTGTACCTACATATTTGCTCTGACTAAAAATCTCTCACAGTTGGTGTGGGCTTATTACAGGACCTCAGGGCCCTACACATTTGCTCTGTCTCACAGTTGGTGTGGGCTTATTACAGGACTCCATTGGCCCTACACATTTACCTCTGTCTCACAGTTGGTGTGGGCTTTTTACAGGAGCTCAGGGCCCTTAAGTTTAGCTCTGTCTCACAGTTGGTGTGGGCTTATTACAGGGACCCCAGTGTACCTACATATTTGCTCTGACTCAAAATCTGGGGTGGTCTTATTACAGGACCTCAGTGTACCTACACATTTGCTCTGACTCAAAATCTGGGGTGGTCTTATTACAGGACCTCAGTGTACCTACACATTTGCTCTGACTCAAAATCTGGGGTGGTCTTATTACAGGACCTCAGTGTACCTCCACATTCGCTCTGACTCAGTCTGGGATGGTCTTATTACAGAACCCCAGTGTACCTACATATTTGCTCTGACTAAAAATCTGGGGTAGTCTTATCACAGGACTCCATTGTACCTACACATTTGCTCTGACTAAAAATCCTGGGGTGGTCTTATTACAGGACCTCAGTGTACCTACACATTTGCTCTGACTCAAAATCTGGGGTGGTCTTATTACAGGACCTCAGTGTACCTACCCATTTGCTCTGACTCAGTCTGGGATGGTCTTATTACAGGACCTCAGTGTACCTACACATTTGCTCTGACTCAAAATCTGGGGTGGTCTTATTACAGGACCTCAGTGTACCTACACATTTGCTCTGACTAAAAATCCTGGGATGGTCTTATTACAGGACCTCAGTGTACCTACCCATTTGCTCCGATTACAGGAAAATGAATTACCTGTTTGTATCGTGTTGGTATTTCTTCCAAACTTCAAAAAATGTTGATGGGCATATCATCAGACATTAGCTTACTGTCATTCGACTATGTACAGGTCGGAGGTCACAGGTATTACTGAAGATGTGTGTAATTCATTCTTTATACCTGATGATTCAAACCATGTTTACCTGTAATCAATATCTAAGTATGTATTAGGTAATTCTAACGAGGGATTGCATGTAATTATTGTTTATGTGAGAAAAGCTCAGCTGGAATCTGCTTATAATGTCAGTATTCATCAAATTGATAAAACTATATGTGAAACATTCATAAATAAACATTTAAATATTTTCGACAAAAGTGTACATTAATTTGTGAGCATTCAAAGAAACAATTAAAAGTGAAATTGATTTTGTGTAAAATTAAAATGACAAGTACCATGCTTTTAGTAAGTTTTCGTTGCAGTGAGCAGGTAAAGTGGGTGTAACGACATTACCGTGCACCAGGTAACTTCAAAGGAGCCATCTGATTCTCACCTGTACAGGTGTGATTTATATGTTGACATTTGAGGCAAAAAAAATTGAAACAAATATTTGGTGAGGTTTGAAATCTCCACCATGTATTTTCTATTAGGGTTAGAGCAGTGTACATAAACGACTTGGCGTGCTTACTCTAGGCATTCTACAAGGTGAAATTTTAAAGCAACAGGTATTGAAATATCAGTGCTTGTATTTACCTGCCCGAGAGCAAGTTATGCAATCACAAAAATATTTACAAAGAGAGTTTGTGAGTGTGTAAAACGGGTCACTGTATCGACCAATACACATTGTGAAGTGGGTTATTCATTAACAAAGTCAGGCGCAGTTATGGTTTGAGTTCGTAACCTCTGGAATTATATTTGATATCACTGACCTTATTTGTACCAGAGGTTTTTTAGTGTATGTTTCATTTTACAATATTTTCTTGTTAAGATCTGTGGTTTATATAATATTGTTGAAAATCAGTTTATGATTGTTCTATTTAATATTCAGTTACTGATATGTAAAATTAAGTAACTTTTTTTGGCTTCATGTGTAATATACTGCACACATAGAAGTTGTGGGTTTAACTGTTTATTGCTTGTTATTGCAAAGTTTTTTCAGAGTGTTTAAGATGAGCCCAGTTGAAACAATATGTAGCTTTTAATGCAATGTCTACAAATCTACAAATGTCTGTAAATTGTAAATTTACAAATGTCTGTAAATTTACAAATGTCTGTAAATCTACAAATGTCTGTAAATCTTCAATTGTCCCATGACTTTTTTTTGTTCCAATTAAACACAACTCCAGTTAGAAATTTCAATATTTTTTTTTTTGTATTGAATAAATCTTAATTGCTGTATAAACATTACCATCGCTGTGCTTTGAATAACCGGATATTTAAACTGACTGTAAGAGGCAAAATGTGTAGCAAGTACTTGGAAATATTTATCTATGAGAATATATGGACAGAACTAATACTCTACACAACTGTTTGAGATTTAATTTTATTACAAAAAACCTATCTATGTAGCCCTGGTTAATACTAGCAATAATATACCACTCAGCCTGGTAATTCAGTCAGTTGTTTATAAAACTAGAGAGACAGAGGTTCCGAGTTCAAACCCTCACAGAAGCATGACTTCTGTCACATTACACATAGAAATGTTACTTAATAAAGAGCCAACAATGAACTGAAGAAATGTGATAAAAACATTTTGAAAATTCTGTCTAGACATTATGAGACTCACTTCCTGATAGTCTGCAAAAATGTTGACAAAATGATGACATTTGTGTTCTTCAGTACTTAAAGAGCTCTCCAGACTGAAGTGTTACAGAGATAAGATTAGGATGTGTCTGTTGACTGTGATCACATGTCACTATATATCTTGTACTGAAAATGTACACAAACTTGACCATTCTACCTTATGTAAAACATGAATATGAAAGAACAGAGGCTTTTTTCATGTTTAGATTCTACAAAAGTTTATTTTACACCTTGTCATATACATATATTAGATAAATAATTTTTAGTATTCAAACAAGTTTTCAGTGAGGATGATTGATCAGTGCTGGTTAGATTAAACAAAGTTGTATAGCAGAGCACTCTTTTAAAACATTTAATCATTTTATTTTATTAAAAACTCGAATTTAAATTTTCTTTAAAATGGAATACAAAAAGAGAATTATACAAATCTACATAAAGACAAACTTAATAATATGAAGAACAGAAAATTATTTCATTTTCATAAATTGGACGTTGGTTTATTTCATCAGGCTTTGAAAAACTGGTACCAATTTGTTGTATTTAGGCATGGTTATAAGTAGTGTGATTTGTGAACAGTACAACTTTCTTCCTTATAATGACTAAAACCTATGTAAATTAGTTAACTCAGTTATATACAAACATATGTACTAGATATCTCATTGTTCATTAACAATAGAATAACTCACAATTATTGTATGTTTTATAACGTACATTTAAAATTATTTTTTTTTTTATTCCAGAAACATGAATCAGTAAAAAAGTACCAGTATTCTCCTAGGGAGGCAAGTATTTGGTTTTATGATAATGTAGACACAGTCACGAAGAATGTCAAAATTCTTGACTTTTTTATTTTAATTCTCATTATTCTTTTGATGGTATATGATAGTTGAAATTAGTTTAAGCATTTGTAATCATTTAACATTTGTAAGTTGTCCTAAGTATACTTTTTTTTAATCAAGAAAAGTAGGATGACGTAAAAAAAGAGATGATGAATCGTTATCAGTGATTGACTTGTAAAGAGGTGGATATGAGGATGTAATAGATGTTATTAACCCTGCTGAATATCTATTTTTAGCCTCCGGCATCAGGCTCTAACACACCGGGCACAAACATGTCTACCCTACGGGACATGATCAACAGGTAAGATACCTTAGTCTGTAACAGCAGCTAAGTTCTTGTGTCTTTAGAGGATATAAGTTTTGGAAACCCTTCTAGATCCATCATAACATTTCTTTTGGTATAGATATCAAGTCGTTGCTAAAATCAGTCTGACTAATTAATTATAAATATAGTCACAGAGAATTATAGTACAGTATGTTCATACATATTCAGCAGAAATACCTATCTGTACAGTAAGAAGGTTCTTAATTCAACCCATCTAAATATCTTCAATTATCACCTTCATAAAGAGTTAAATATAAAAAAAAAATGTAACTAGATGAAACATCAGATCTATAAACAAGCACTTGGTTGTTTCAGGGCACAGGTAGAAGATGACCAGCTCGTACTGGACCTCGTATACATCACGGAAAGGATTATCTGTAAGTTAACTGGACATTCCAGAATAGAAAACCAATGTATTCCTAAACTGATTTATTCAATAATCCCAAATAACATAATTTTATTATTTCATTATGTCTTTGATGTGCAGAAAGTTGGAAAACATCATTTCCAAAACCATCTTGAATAAAGATAAAAGCAATATTTTATATCAATTTTTTTTTCATGTAAATAGGGTGAAAAATCTTTATTTTTGACAGATAACTGCAAAATTTCTAGACAACAAGTTTGTTCACCTTTGACCATGTTTATTTTCAGCGATGTCCTTTCCATCTGATGAACACGAAGTCACCTACACTTATAACCTTAAGGAGGTGATGAACATGCTTCGCACGAAACATGACGATAATTGTTTGGTTAGTATATACATTACAATGATTCTGCAATTAAGTTCACATTGAAATGTTTGGCAGTTTTTGTTATCAATGTTCAACCAGTTAACCAATTTTCATTGTCAACTAATCAAACAGTTATTCAGTTGAATGATTTTCCAAGTAATTGGTTAGTTAAACTCAACCCATTTGACAACCTTAGTTTTTATCATTATGTTCCTTCCATAAATTACAATAAAATGTCTGATTTCAAATTATGTCATGAAATAAAAAAATTTTGTCGTGTTTACTACCTTCAGGGATTCCTTTTCATGACGTGGCTGAAAAGCTCCATGAACATGCAAAATAAATATGTAAATGTATTAAGCATGTATGTATCATTAAGTTTTAAAATTTGACTTATCTTAATACAAACTTAAAATCTGTTGACTTCCGTTTGTTAACCTATGAATCTTATACAGGTTATCAACTTGTCCGAGCCCAGACAGGACCTGGAAAAATTTAATCCCAAACATGTGATAGACTACGGCTGGCCTGACTACCTGGCCCCGCCCCTGGAGCGCCTCTGTAACATATGTAAGGCAATGGACTCGTGGCTGAGTACAGACGGACGTCATGTGGTCGTCGTACACTGTAAAGGCAGCACATCACGCATTGCTGTTGTCATAGCAGCCTTCATGCACTATTGTAGTATCTGTGCAAGGTGAGGAACACAACTTTAATTCAGTATTGTGTAAAAACTTGGAATTAATAGAGATTTCATTTTCTTATTAACAATGAAAAACCACATTGACAGCATTCTCATCTCAAATCATTGTAAGCATTCAAAACATAGGTTTTAGAAATAATTTATTGTTTTGTTTCCTCAAAATTATATAAATTGATCAGTAGATTAATATTTGACAGTCGTGTAGTTGTCATAGAATTGTATGGTATATGATATAAGGGAGGTAACTTTGATCTTTTTACCTATTTCAGTGCTGACCAGGCATTAGATAGATTTGCTATGAAGAGGTTCTATGATGACAAGCTAGGGGGAATAACTCTTCCTTCCCAGATCAGGTTTGCTATTTTATTTTGTAATTTGGTCTACTAATTTCAATCTTGATCCGATATCATTATGATTTAGCAGAATGATAAACAAGAAATTTCTGTTGATTTTTTTTTTTTAAAGTTTTCCATTTCTTAACCATTTCTATTTTCATGTAAGTCTTTTGTTTTACACTTTTCCACAAACATATTCACATGAGCTTTTTCTCTTTGTTTTCTAATATATTTGTAGTAAATCATGAAAAAAATTATTTCAATAAATCCCATCATTTGCAGATATGTAGAATACTTCTACGGCCTGCTATCTGGTGCAATAAAGATCAATAGTAATGCTCTGTACCTTCACCACATCGTTATACACGGGGTGCCCAACTTCGACACACAGGGGGGGTGTCGGCCCTTCATCAAAGTTTACCAGGGGATGCAGAACATCTTCACGTCAGGCGTCTAGTAAGTATTTGTCTTATTACCTTTTTCTATACGGAGTAGAGTGAATAGCCGAGACAGTAAAGCCCTGGACTTTTTAAACTGAAAACTGAAGTGAAGATCCAAGGTTTGTGATTCAATCCCCACCCATGGTGTATTGTGTTTCTCAGGAAGATGAATAATGGACCAGACTGTGTTGTAATTGTTGGGCGAGAAACTCTGCTGTGAATGGTGTGTGATGGGCCTCTGGTGTGTTGTTCAGTGAGGTAGTCTACAGCTATACCAAGGAGACCCCACCCTATTTCTGCTCTAACCCAACCCTAGGGTGATAAACTCAACACACTGATAATCTGACTGTACTAAATACCAAGGAGACCCCACCCTATTTCTGCTCTAACCCAACCCTAGGGTGATAAACTCAACACACTGATAATCTGACTAAATAAATACTGAACACGATTGTCATTACAGTTAAAAAAGACTTATAAAGACACATTTCATTTAGATATTACAAATACAACTTATAATCTTGAAATTCAATGAACTGTGGAAAAGATATCGACTTATCCAAATTTTGACTCAAACAAAGTGTCCAAATTACATTGACGATATCAGTTTCCTGATGTTGATTATGTTTGAACAAAGTAGGGCTACCATAGCATAATACACAATGGTACAAACAACATTATTTAATCTGTTATGTGAAATGGCAGTAAACAAACAGATACAAATAAATTTTAACTTTCTCCTTTTATAGTTTATTCATCAAAACATGTAATAACAACACCAATTAACTGAATTTGTACTCACATCATTTACGGAATAAAATGAAATAAATTTGTGTTTGATACGCTACTAGAAACGATGTATGATCATATTTATATGGCTTTGTTATAAATAAATAAACGTATGAAAAACGCGACACTAGAAAGCTTTTACCTCCAACAGAAAACATTGTACAAGCACTAGACTTAACAAACCAGATATAGACACTATGGATGAAAAATACTTGTAGCACTTCATATTGTCCAAACAATAAATCTGACAAAGTGCTCGATCACTGTCCTTTGCTAGAAACTTGGCTCTATTCACCTAACATTTTCTATTAAAGTGTTTTTTGTGTCTTTGACTGTTTATAAAGTTTTCTGTCTGCTGAATGCATGTTCTCTTGAAAATCAATTAAGAATTTATTTGTTAGGAAAAAGGAATTCTACACCTAATATTGATATAAATACAGGTGCCCTTTTTACTGAAGCTTGTCAAAGGAAAACCTTGTTGCTTTGCTATCATTAATTGACCCTGAAGATGACCTTGGGAAGTGCTGACAATTAATTTATCAGATGTCCTATAATTATATCTATCTACAAGAATCAGTGGTCTTCCTGTAAGCTTTCTGATTAATAGTGATTAGTACATACATTCCAGGGATGTGTTGACCACTGTGTGTGTGTGGGTGGGTGCTTGTGTCCTCTGTGGACAGCCATAAATAAGGTGCTGTTGTGTTACAGGAACTGTGGGGGGTACTATTAGCTACTGACCACACAGTAGGTAGTGGTCAAGATATCAGCTAGATTACATACTCACTAATTCCTTCTGTCCTTCCTTATTTGTGGAGATTGATGGAAAGAAGAAATTCCTTTGGTACATGTACAGGAGAAATATGGCTGCTGTGCTGGGGGTGGAAACCATTCTCTCTTTCAAAAATCTTGAAATAAAAAAAAAAAAAAACAGGAAATATTCATAACAGATAACAACCATTGATTGAAAATATTTTCGTTTAAAAATTGATGTGTGCTGCTCCAGAGAGAGGTGCAGGGATAGATAATTATTTCAAATATAAATTGGAACAGATTCAAATATTTATGCTGCTGGAATAAAAACCAAATCCACAAGATTGCATGGAGATTGCTTGAAATGTTTTAAGACTTTAGCATTCACCAAAAAATAGAGAGATGAATCTAAAGCAGGAAGGATGAGAGGGCTACACACCATGGGGTTCCCCCTTATCAGGCCTAGCACACAGGTCTGGCACATCCAGCTACTCATGGATATTACAGCAAGAGTTCCCCTTTGTGAGGCTCCATATGGGGAAATCTTTAAAAAAAAGATTTGGATTTTTTCAACAGAACAGATTTTTCAGTATAGGTTTGGTAGTAATGTTTTACGTTAATTACCCTGATTAGAAGCATGGATATTTTCTGTCTGGTTATAAGATGTTAGACAGGTATTGCTAGATACATGGGGTGTCAAAATAGAAAAATAATAGATTACTGAGATAATGTTAGAGCCAGTCGTCTGATTACCATGGACATCGGAATCCTAAAGTGATAACAGAAAAGATTTCATTTTGAACTAGAATTTTGTATTTTTATTGATTTTTTAAAATAATTTTGTTTCAGCAAAATTTTGATAAATTATCTTGAAAAAGTAGTCGTTGATGACTTGATTTTGAATGTGATAGTGTTTATAGGTCCTATGGCCAGAAAAGTACATTTTTACCTAGAATAGTGGTTCAGGACAGGTGACGACACTCCCAATATGTTTTAAATCAAGGTTTATTTCAGAGGATCTGTTGTAATAGTTGTAGACAGGTTACATGATTTTACTTTTGAAGGCATGTGATGTACCTTCTGTATGTTGTTCAGTGCGGTAACCACAAACTTGTTCAATAATAGTGAACCTACCTGTGTATTGATAGATGATAAACCTCAACCAAATAAAATGTCATAATTAAAAAATATGAATCAAGGACTTTGAAAATATTTTAGGTAACGGCGATAAAGGAAATTTCAAACACTTACCTGATACTGTATATTCATTAATTTTCAGGGGGGATTTATTTTCGTGGAACTTGTGGGTATCTCTGATCACAAATTCACATGTCCATTAACTGTTAAAATTAGTATAAATAAAGTGATAGAGCTGTATTTAGCCATGAAATCACACATCCACAAAATAGTGATTTTTTGTAACACCACAAAATAGAACCACTTGAAAATATATGACTTTGCAATAGACAACATGAAACCATTGTTAATGTCATGGTTTGTTAATCCAATTAAACACATTTAGGAGAAACATTCTTATCATTGGAAAAAACTATTTAAAACAAAGACAGATTTACTATTCATCTGTCTTTCTTAACTGATTGTAATTGATGCAGATTCAGAAACTTTAAAATAATGTTTGTTTTCAGTATTAGTCAGAAGGGGGAAAGTCTTCCACTTCAGAACAGTAGGTTTACTCATTGTATATATGGAAACAGTTGTGGTGTGTGTTGATGACTCAACACTGGGCTATTTCATACTTAATTGGGAGGGGAAGAGAATTAGTTACAAATAAAACCTGTAATATATACACTTGATTCTGGATATTACATACAAATTAACTCATTTGATATATTTGAATGTTGAACCAATAGAGTAGTTTTATACATGTACAGAAAAAGTACCTTGAATGAACATAAAAAATTCTAAATTTATCGTGTGCTATATATAGTCTGGGGCATGAGTTTTGTTTTATGTAACATCTCAGGTACTTAACTGATATATATATATTAACATCTAAGTGGTTAGCTGACGTATCACAGATTAAATAAAAATCTTAGGCAAAGATATCTGCATTACTAGCACGAATGTCGCACAGACATGATAAATATAATTTAATGATAATTTTTTTATCAAAAAACTTTTCAATGTAATCTGTACATTCTAATAATATGTTTAAAGCACACTTTGTATAATCTGTATAAATCAGATCCTGTGCACACACCTGTATAAATCAGACTTTGTATAATCTACACACCTGTATAAATCAGACTTTGTATAATCTACACACCTGTATAAAACAGACTTTGTATAATCTACACACCTGTATAAATCAGGCTTTGTGTAATCTACACACCTGTATAAATCAGACTTTGTATAATCTACACACCTGTATAAATCAGGCTTTGTGTAATCTACACACCTGTATAAATCAGACTTTGTATAATTTACACACCTGTATAAATCAGGCTTTGTGTAATCTACACACCTGTATAAATCAGACTTTGTATAATCTACACACCTGTATAAATCAGGCTTTGTGTAATCTACACACCTGTATAAATCAGGCTTTGTATAATCTACACACCTGTATAAATCAGACTTTGTATAATCTACACACCTGTATAAATCAGGCTTTGTGTAATCTACACACCTGTATAAATCAGACTTTGTATAATCTACACAGCTGTATAAATCAGACTTTGTATAATCTACACACCTGTATAAATCAGACCCTTTGTTGTCTATACACCTGTAAAAACCATACCCTGTATAAGCAGGACATTCTTCCTAACCAGATCAACTGTATATTCTGGTCATAAATGAGATACTGTATGATTAACAGAATCTTTGTTATGTCCCTAATTTAGATATTGTCTTCGGTTAATTGGATTATGTAATTTCTTTCCTGAATCGTGTGAAACCCTACATAATTTAAGTCCTCTATCAGTTAACAGAACCACCTTTGTTAGTGAGAAACAATGAACTTATTTATGTGTAGGAAATAGTGTTAACTTCCTTAACTTCCTTTAATATACTAGAATATTGTTTGTTTGATGGGTCTGTCACCTCCTCAACAGCCATGGCCTTTTTGAGATTGAGGCTCCTTATACTAGCTGATAGCACCTCACTGAACAACATATGGGAGACCCGTCAAATTCTGTCCAGAGTAAGTAAGGTAAATTTTATTGTCAAAGGACTCAATCATGTGGGCACAGATTGTACTGTTTCTCAGCATGCTTAAAAAAAGACAATCCAGCAGATGTTTTAAGGAAGTGTTAAACTATTGAATAACCTGCTGCATTGAATTATACCTGGAATAGTCCAGGCAAGTGATTACAGTCATAATCTTAGGTATGCCTGTTAGTTGATTGGTTTGGTGAATTGTGTACAATGCCTGGCAAACGATGAAATCTATGCACCTATACACTTTAAACCTGTAATACCTTAAACCTGTAATACCTTAACATAAGATCAGTCATGTCTCAATATCCCCATCAAACTTATTTTGAAGTCTTAAGATCCTCACTCTGGACCTAATTATCCCCTCAGACTTATTTGGTAGTCTAAGACCCCGACTCTGGACCTAATTATCCCCTCAGACTTATTTGGTAGTCTAAGACCCTGACTCTGGACCTAATTATCCCCTCAGACTTATTTGGTAGTCTAAGATCCTGACTCTGGACCTAATTATCCCCTCAGACTTATTTGGTAGTCTAAGATCCTGACTCTGGACCTAATTATCCCCTCAGACTTATTTGGTAGTCTAAGATCCTGACTCTGGACCTAATTATCCCCTCAGACTTATTTGGTAGTCTAAGATCCCGACTCTGGACCTAATTATCCCCTCAGACTTATTTGGTAGTCTAAGATCCTGACTCTGGACCTAATTATCCCCTCAGACCTATTTGGTAGTCTAAGATCCTGACTCTGGACCTAATTATCCCCTCAGACTTATTTGGTAGTCTAAGATCCTGACCCTGGACCTAATTATCTCCCTTGCACTTTTTATTGTCACAAATATCTTTGACCTAATTTCCCCTTCCTATTTATTTAGGGATTTGAAATCTTGGCTTTGAACCCAAATATCTGTTTAGATGTAGTCAGTGGTTAGAGATCAGGTATATACCTATTATGATCCTTTCCTGTAATCATTGTTTTTGTACCTGGTGAACACTATAGGTAATTCTAGACATACTATAACTGTACTTATGTATTGTGTTAACATACTGTATTAATTGTATTTAGGGATGTAAGGTAAAGATTCTGGTATTACCTGAGCTGTCTGTGGCCCCTGTGGGGAGCCTCTTGTAACTAGATACAGAAGATGATACAAACAGTAGTCTATTTTTGGCAGCACAGACTTCCTGCTTGCCAGAGGGAGAACCTATTGGTACAAGTCTTCAACAGTCCCTCTCTTCCCCACTCTCTTCCCCCTCCTCCTCCCCTCCTCCTCCTTCTACAACCCCCTCCAACACCCCCCTCCCCAATCATCCACCCCCTGTATCCCTGTTCCCACCTCCTCCCCTCCTCCTAACGTCATGCACTCCCAAATTTATATATACCTCTTTCTAGTTATTTATTCCTTGATTCATAAAACAGTTCCATAGTTTACAAGAATTCCAGAGATCCAGACTTTTTTGCTGACATAAGAAATAATAGAGGAGAAGAGAGATTTTATGTCAGAAACGTCTAAATTGAACTAATTTATCACGCTGAAGATTCCCAAGGCTTGGAATCTTTTATACCACAGATTCTGATTTAAATATTTTTGTTAATTTTATACCATATTGCTTAGGCATTAGATGGATTTGTCCATCTTATACCCTAAAACTTTGTCATGGAACGTCCCTGTTAATTTTATACCATATTACTTAGGCATTAGATGGATTTGTCCATCTTATACCCTAAAACTTTGTCATGGAACGTCCCTGTTAATTTTATACCATATTACTTAGGCATTAGATGGATTTGTCCATCTTATACCCTAAAACTTTGTCATGGAACGTCCCTGTTAATTTTATACCATATTACTTAGGCATTAGATGGATTTGTCCATCTTATACCCTAAAACTTTGTCATGGAACGTCCCTGTTAATTTTATACCATATTACTCTAGGCATTAGATGGATTTGTCAAACCTAAGATTTTGTCCTTAAAACTTTGTCATGTGATGTCTTTGTTTTTTAATTTTATTTTACCATATTACTTATTAGGCATTAGATGGATTTGTGGGCTGGTTTTGTAATACCCTAAAACTTTGTCATGGATTTAATTTAATTTAATTTTATACCATATTACTTAGGCATTAGATGGATTTGTCCATCTTATACCCTAAAACTTTTGTCATGGAACGTCCCTGTTAATTTTACACTACTAAAAAGACCTGTTAAATGTACACTCTCAGATTCTGTTTAACAGTTTAATGGGATTATAAATGTCAAACCTAAGATTTTGTCCTTATAGACTTGCTAATGTGATGTCTTTCAGTTTTTTAATGGGTTTATCAATTTTACACCAAATGTAATCTATTTGGAAAAAGTTTGCGATTAACAACAATCTGTCAAAATATTAATATTTTTTGTCATTTACAAAAATAAGGAGTCAAGAGCTAGCTTATCTGTCTTTTAAATCAGGTGGTCTTATAAGACAGGTAAAATCAGGTGGTCTTATAAGGCAGGTAAAATCAGATGGTCTTATAAGACAAGTAAATCAGGTGGTCTTATAAGACAGGTAAAATCAGGTGGACTTATAAGACAGGTAAAATCAGGTCTTATAAGACAGGTAAAATCAGGTGGTCTTATAAGACAGGTAAAATCAGGTGGACTTATAAGGCAGGTAAAATCAGGTGGACTTATAAGCCAGGTAAAATCAGGTGGTCTTATAAGACAGGTAAAATCAGGTCTTATAAGACAGCTAAAATCAGGTCTTATAAGGCAGATAAAATCAGGTGTTCTTATAAGACAAGTAAATCAGGTGGTCTTATAAGACAGGTAAAAATCAGGTGGACTTATAAGACAGGTAAAATCAGGTGGTCTTATAAGACAGGTAAAATCAGGTGGACTTATAAGACAAGTAAATCAGGTGGTCTTATAAGACAGGTAAAATCAGGTGGACTTATAAGACAAGTAAATCAGGTGGTCTTATAAGACAGGTAAAAATCAGGTGGACTTATAAGACAGGTAAAATCAGGTGGTCTTATAAGACAGGTAAAATCAGGTGGTCTTATAAGACAAGTAAATCAGGTGGTCTTATAAGACAGGTAAAATCAGGTGGACTTATAAGACAGGTAAAATCAGGTGGACTTATAAGACAGGTAAAATCAGGTCTTAGAAGACAGGTAAAATCAGGTCTTATAAGACAGGTAAAATCAAGTCTTATAAGACAGGTAAAATCAGGCGGTCTTATAAGACAGGTAAAATCAGTGGTCTTTGTAGACAGCTTCACTGACAAGTTAGTGGTTTATAAACAGATGTAACCTTAGTCTTTTTAAGACAGGATATATGACATGAGATGACAGTTGGTCTGTATGGAGAATTCCAACTGACCAACATTCCACCCCTACATACTGAGGGAACGGACTGCAGCTGTAGTCATATGGCAAGGTCAGAGTTAGACATTCCAGAGAATGTTATCTTCTCTTCTGGAATCAAGCTTCATATAATACTAGGATAATTTCCTGTTGAAATATTTAGATTTTATTTCTCCTCGCAATCCTAGATAAAACTAAAGAGTGAAATCTGTGTTGAGATAAGATTTCATAATTAAGTTAGGGGGAAAAGATAAGCATTCTTTAAAAGCCGGAAATATAGTGACGTAAATGATATGCAGGGAGGCATTTATTGTCCAAGTGAATCGTTTAGCTGACAGGTATTGGGGAATAGATCTCCGAACCCAGTGTCAGCAAACTTTCCTTCGATGCAGATGTTGGTATTCAAGCATGTGTGAGATACAGATGCAGGTTATCTGAGATCCTGACCTGTTGTATTTACATCTGTACATCTTTATGACGTATACAGCACATTGGTCGGCATTTATTTGCCTTTTTTTTTTTTTTTTTTAAAAAGATGTTTTTATAAACTTAGATAATAAAAAAGAAGTCCATTCTACAATAACTATGATCAATGTCTTGTCACTTCCTGTCCTCCAAAAGAAAGGAAATGTTTGATAGTATGAAATTTTATTTCTACAAAGTTGAAGAAGGCCAAATAAAAAAAGAAGTATGTTTTCTGTATAAAATTCCTTATACCTGATAATTTTGTTTACCTCTGTGATGTCAATGACCTGATACTAACAGCGTACACATTTGTGTTAGTGACAGTGAAGTTAAGGTAGACAGTCCCAATAACCTTTATTTTATCTCCAACTAGATTTGCAGTTTGTTTGGAAACTGTTAGACTTAGAGTTACTTAAAGGTATACTAAAGAACTCTGCATAGGAAAGAAAGGTATTGCTAATTAACCTGGATCCCCAGAACAAATGATTATAAAGCCAATGATTGTTGTACAACACAAGACCAGCCTTAGTATTTACTGAAATAAGTGCTTAATTTGAATGTCCTGTTTTGATTTATTTCAGTAATGTGACTGACCAGATGCAGAAGGTGTGTATTTCCATTTCGCCAGGAATCCCGCTGCGCGGGGACATCATGATCAAATGCTACCACAAGAAGGCCAAGACAGGACAGCGGGAGGTGGTGTGGGCTTGTCAGTTCCACACTTGTGCCATCTCTGGGTACACTCTCACTTTCGCCAAGAAAGATCTTGATGATGCCAGATCAGGTAAGAGAAGACAACTCCATAAGCAACTTGAAAACATAAAGTATGTATATACACATATGTGTATATTTGAAAATCTGCATCATTTTTGTGATACAAGTGTCAATTCTAAATATTGTAAACAAAGTATTTCAGATATAAATGTAAAGAGCAGGTAGCTCATTAAACAGCTGTAAAATATCGCAGGTTCAATTGATAATCTCTCTGAATTAATGTGTCTTGTATGATTTGAAAAAACAACCAATTTCATTTTATTTTAGACCCTCGATTCCCAGACACAGGAAAGGTGGAATTTGTGTTTGGTAATAGTCAAGATAGCAATGTCCGAGGTACGTATCCATGACAACCGTGTTTGATATTATTAGAAAGTAGTAGATGATTGGTTTGGGATGGAAAATTTTCACTGTGTTAAAATCATATTAGAATCAGAAAAATAGAACCTGTTAACCTCACTCTGAATATTATCTGTATAAAGGTTTGTAATCTGTTAAAACTTTGGAATTCTCGTATAACCACACTTCACAAATAAACTGATCCATAAGTTCAAATTTCAAATGTCCATAAAGCGTTCTATTGAACACTAATCATCTGTGACATACGTGACAAGGACAAAATAACCATAACTTCTGGTTCAGGTATCTGGGTGATTTCCAAGGAGTTAAAAAGTGGGGAAGTTTGAATTTGATATGAAATGTGGGCAAACATAAATTATTATCAACTGTTAAAAAAAAGATTTTTTTCTTAATTGGAACAAGTATATCTGGAAATTTAGCAAAGGGTTGTGATTGATACTGAAGTTGTTAAGGCATCCTGTGGAACAGAAATTTCACAAATTTGATTAAAACTGACATTTAGTTAAACGGATGTAAAAGATATAGACAACAGAAGGGGAGGTAACTAGATAGGATATATTGAGTATTGTGTTGGGTCTTTTTATCTGTTTGTGCTTATCATTCCCTGTCATTGTTTGTAGATGTATCTGAAGGTAAGATAGTGCACTAACAAAATGTATATGTCTAACACCTTGGTGAAAAGAACAGCTTATCTATCACTTCTGCAACATATCTCCAGTATTTAACGCCTAAAAATGTTTCCATTTTGCTCTGTTTATTGATTTTACTGAAGATGGTTCGGTCAAAAAGGCCCTACTTACATAATTTTTGTAAAAGCATCTTTCAAAATTATTTACTGTATTCCTCCTGCAGCAAGCCCAGGAGGCAGCAACCCCCTGTCGATGTAGGAGGGCGGGCTTATTACAGGATAATGAAGTAGCAATTGCTGGAAGGCATGTGCTTATTGATTGATAAAATTATATCCCAGAGCCAAAAATGGAAACATGGCAACAATTTAATAGGAACTTTAAGGTTTTATATCTTCTAAATCAGTATTATAATATATCTGTATATATTGAATATTAATAGTTTAATACATTGATCCAGAAGGTAAGACCATAACTTTGATTAAGGTCTGCTTGGATACCATCCACTATACTGAAGAGTTGGGACCAATCAAGCGTAACAATCTCATCAATCCTAATTTATGTTGATTTTAATTTATTTTGAAATATTTACCAGTTTTATTTCTTCAGTATAATTTTAGTTTACTGATATGGAATTTGTGAATTGAAAATTTTAATAAAAAGTTGTGTTTTATAAAAACAAAATTCCTGTAGTGGTCAGGCCATATTAGGTTGTATCTCAATCATGTGGTCACATGACTTAACTGATGAATGATTTGTCGAAATAAATCACCATGGATATATAATAGATGTGAAATCAACTCTTAGTCTAGTTCATTTCTTATATTGTTTTTTTTATTATTTTTACTGCTGGTTTGATAATCTGATTTTAAAGATCGACCAATATTACATATGTTCACCAGGTAGATCACTTTCTGGCTTGTTTGATGAAAATCTGCAAAACACACTTGTGTTTCACTCTCATTCATACACATGATTTCATAGTATTTACTACTTTACAACTATATCACATCATTTTGCTTTTACCAAATTGATTTAATATCTTTGCAGTGACTAAGCTTTCACGTTTCACACTTTTAATGTCAAAATATTTATTCAAATATGTCATAATTTTGCCCGCCATCTTTTTAACCTTTACAAAATGTCAACAAAGTCTCATTGAGCAAATTTGATGTTTTGGTAACCTTAAGTGAGCCTATGGATTTGTAACTGTAATCTAAAGGACTTGTTTATGAAGTGCCGTCATTATTTTGTGTAAGATGATATAAAACAGAGACTTACTGTCGAGGCGTGGATCATACCGTTGTTTAGCGTGTGTCTTCTCTAGATAAACAGAAGGTCAAGCATCAGGGTAACTTTTCAAGATCTATGCAAGTAGCGAGATATCTGATGAAGTGTTCCCTAAAGTACTTGGCTGAATTACGTAGCAATCATGTGACTTCAGTCAGATTAATTTTCTATAAAATTTAATCAAATAATTTTATTGGAATGTTTTTTTTACTCACTGAGGTATGTGTCCTTCTTTCATTCTTTTGTGCCTATGAAAGATCCAGGTAAAATATTTGTGAAATTTGTTGTATTTTTTAAAGCTTATTTCGATGTTTAAATATATAAATATATAAATATATAAATAAATATATAAATATATAAATATATAAATATATAAATAAATATATAAATATATAAATATATATATATATAAATATATAAATATATAAATATATAAACATATAAATATATATAAATATATATAAATATATAAACATATAAATATATATAAATATATAAATATATAAATATAAATATATAAATATATAAATATATATAAATATATAAATATATAAATATATATAAATATATAAATATATATAAATATATATAAATATATATAAATATATAAACATATAAATATATATAAATATAAATATATAAATATATAAATATATAAATATAAATATATAAATATATAAATATTTAAATATATAAATATATAAATATATAAATATATAAATATATAATATATATAAATATATAAACATATAAATATATAAACATATATATATATATAAATATATAAATATATAAATATATAAAATATATAAAATATAAAATATATAAATATATAAACATATAAATATATAAATATATAAATATATAAATATATAAATATATAAATATATAAATATATAAACATATAAATATATAAATATATAAATATATAAATATATAAATATATATATATATATAAATATATAAATATATATATATAAATATATATATAAATATATAAACATATAATATATATAAATATATAAATATATAAATATATAAACATATAAATATATAAATATATATATAAATATATAAATATATATATATATATATATATATATATATATAAATATATAATATATAAATATATAAATATATAAATATATAAATATATAATATATAAATATAAATATATATATATATATATAAATATATATATATAAATATATAAATATATAAATATATAAATATATAAACATATATATAATATATAAACATATATATATATATAAATATATAAATATATAAATATATAAATATATAAATATATAAATATATAAACATATAATATATATAAATATATAAATATATAAATATATAAATATATAAACATATAAATATATAAATATATAAACATATAAACATATAAATATATAAATATATAAATATATAAATATAAATATATAAATATATAAATATATGAATATAAATATATAAATATATAAATATATAAATATATAAATATATATAAATATATAAATATATAAATATATATATATAAATATATAAATATATAAATATATAAATATATATAAATATATAAATATATAAATATATAAATATATAAATATATAAATATATAAATATAAATATATAAATATATAAATATATAAATATATAAATATATAAATATATAAATATATAAATATATAAACATATAAATATATAAATATATAAATATATAAATATATAAATATATAAATATATAAATATAAAATATAAAATATATAAATATATATATAAATATATAAATATATATATAAATATATAAATATATAAATATATATATAAATATATAAATATATAAATATATAAATATATAAATATATAAATATATAAAAGTTTTTATCTTAATTTTATTAGTTTGTATGATTTAAACAGCAAATAACTCTGTCATCATTTTTTGCCCTATTTTTGTGTTCACAGTTTTCTGAAAATCACTGTTTTTGTTCTTTCTGTCCCTGTGTTGTTGATGTAACTATGTCTAGTGTATGATGTATCTATGTCCAGTGTATGATGAAATTATGTCTAGTGTATCTGATATATGATTCTGTTCAGTGTGTTTTGGGGTAAATAAAGACTGAAGTATTATAGTACATAAATAGTGATATGCCTGCATATTATATAGGGTCATGTGATCTCTTCTGTCTGTTGAGTATAATAATGAAAAATTGGCTCACATGATCTCTTCTGACTGTAGAGGATAACAGGGAGAGATAGGGTCATGTGATCTCTTCTGTCTGTTGAGGATAACAAGGAGAGATAGGGTCATGTGATCTCTTCTGTCTGTTGAGGATAACAAGGAGAGATAGGGTCATGTGATCTCTTCTGTCTGTTGAGGATAACAAGGAGAGATAGGGTCATGTGATCTCTTCTGTCTGTTGAGGATAACAGGGAGAGATAGGGTCATGTGATCTCTTCTGTCTGTTGAGGATAACAGGGAGAGATAGGGTCATGTGATCTCTTCTGTCTGTTGAGGATAACAAGGAGAGATAGGGTCATGTGATCTCTTCTGTCTGTTGAAGCTGAAGAGATTACAAGAAGGTGGCACACAGATAAGATTTTGTTTATGAAGTTTGTGTACTTTTAAAACCTAAACATTTTTAAAATGGTGGTTGAAGATGATTGCAAAAGGCGTCATGCAGAATATTTCAGTGGCAGGATTGGCCTGTTTAACACTAGGCAGATCTGTAAGACCAGACTTATTAAATATAAATGGCATGTCAGATACATATATTTACACTATGGGTGGGCTGCCTTCCAGCATGTGTAAAATGTTAAGTTATTTCAATATCAAAACATTCTCCAAAGGGTTGATTACCATGGTTATGAAGAGTTACAATAAGTTGTGTCTAGGGACATGGGTAGAGGGATACGGAAGAAAAAGGTTTAGGTGTCTGTACATTGTAATGTTTAGATATGGAATGTTTCAGTTTGTGGTAAAAAAAAAAAGATGACATACTTGTCCTTTTGAGATTAAACTTTGATTAATGAAGACTGTAGACACAGGCTTGTCTATTCCTATTTAATTAAAATCTGACAAGTTTAACGAAAATATTACTAGATATATCTTAACGTTCAAAAACTGTCTGACTTTAGAAAGAATTCTACCAGATACAGAATTCCATGGCACCAGATAGACACTCTGGCATCAAATCTAGGTCAAGGTCAACTTTTTTTTTTTATTGCATTTTGGAATTTTAATTCAAATACAGATAAAATGTTGCACTAATTTGATAAGATTATGGTTTTTAACCTTTTTTTTTTTTTTTTGTGAAAAAAATTGTGTAAATATAAGATTTGAATGCTTATAACTTGATAGATAATTAACAGTCTGGAGATGTAACCATCTTTAAGTCATTCACTAAGAAAAGCTATAAATTACTACTGCTGTTTTTTAAGCAGATTTGATCTCTGATCTATTACAAGAGTTAGACATAGAAAAAGGAAATTTCATAAAATTCCAAAATTATTGATGCAAACCATTTTTTTTTTTTTTTTTTTGTGATTTTGGTGATCGTTTGGAATTCTAGAACCATATTTTCATTTTCAATGATACATAGAAATGAAAATGATGAAAGGCCTATTGACGATATGGCCTGCTGATTTATTTGCTCTAAATCACTGGTATTTCCTACGGGATTTATTTTCACATTAATACAAGATGAGAGTCCTTCATGAAGACAAATCCCTCACTATTATCTTTACAGAAATAACTCTTGATGACATCAATGCTAATTTGGTTACAAATATATATTTCTTATAGTGTAAATTTAAAGTAAGTTTTAGATCATCGTTCATGAAATCACGTATTCACAAATATGTCAGAAGAGGTTAGTTTGCAATAGAAAGTATTTGCGATAGAAATTATTTGCGAAACCTAAGTGAATTATTGTAACCTGCTGTATGAAGAATACCAGTTGATACACCGAGGAATGAACTGCGTGATTATTTTTGGCTCTAGTTAGGACAGACTTCTGGTTTGATATCAAAGATGTTGAGAAGAAGCTACCAGCACATTCAAATGATTTTTTTATCATTTCAGTGACAGATTTTAAGTCGGATGTCACAGTACCAGTGGATGACGGCACAGATGCTCTGGTGAGGTGGGACTCCTACGAAAATTTCTCAAATGTCAAAAACACTGATGGGAAAATTAATGGTAAGTTAGCAATTAAGTTTGATTTAATTTCCAGTTGATGGTTGTAGGATCTGCTTTCAGCTTTGTTGTATATGTTTAATGTTGTGTTGTTCAAACTTTGGTAAGAAGCATGCAGGTAATGGATTTCGTTCGATCACAAGAGAGCTTACTGCAATCGTTGTCCGCAGTCTCACTGTTGTGTATGGGTAAAATTTCATCCTGGACCAGATAACATATCAATATAATGTGTTTCTGACTAATCAGTTAGATATAATATGTCTATTTTCATAGAGAGTTCTGCAGAAGTGTTTGCATCCTGTTTTACATTTTTTAAACAGAGTCAGTTCCGGTGTGTTACACTTTCACCTTGAAATCAACCCCTTCATCAGTCATTAACATATACCTTACTAACAAACAATAAAATCTTAATTTCTTTTAGTTTTTCAATCGATGAAAAATAAATCCAAACCTTTTGTTCAAATCAATGAAAATAAAATTTACCTAAAGATTCAAATTTCTTTTTATTATGGTATGTGATTGATCAATTCAAAACAGATGTTCTTTCATTGAGAAATTATGTAGTCATTTTGTGTTTGTATTTTGAAGATTCAGGGAAATGTTTATAATATGCAATATTTCAGGCAATTGAACTCAGATGAGTATTGAAAGCAGATGAGTAGGTTAAAGACATCACACAAAATCCACCCATGATGGTTCTATTATTCTTTACCTTGTTCTCATTTGTGATATGACATAATTTGATTGACCAAAATATACATGACAGATGTCACGATAAAGAAGAAAATGCTTACTCTTCCAGAACCCTTGGTCCTATTCTCTGGCACATTTTCAGGGGTTCCAGTGTAAAGTTTTCTTTTGGTTATATTTTACCTTCATTTCTTTAAAAAAGGGCAAAAAGTCTTGCTGAACACTTGGTGCTATCCTGGTTCCAAGGATCCAATGGTCTGCATGTGCATCATTCCTTTGTTTACATTCTGCCCTGGAATCATTGATTTTGAGTTTGAATTCTGCCGATGCCTTTTTTTGTCTTGTTTTACATCACCAAATTTAAGCCAAAGTTTCCTTTTTGGTACCACATAGGAAAATTATCTGCAAAGGAAAAGGTGAGAGTTAAGGTTAAATCAATTAAAATTCCAGGCCTGACACTATATGTGTAAAAAGTAGGATTATTAAAAAAAAATCATTAATCTTACAAGTTTCTTTAACAGAATTTCCGCTGGTTAAATATGGCAGTGAAATAAAAGTCAAAAACATTACAGAGAATTCATAATGTTGGTTTATCCTATTTGATTGGCTGGTTTTGACATGTATAGGAGATATGTTATTAGTGTCATTCTTCTCACAAAATACTGGCAGAACTAATTGATACGATTCTTGTAAAGATGGGAATCACCTGATGAAATTAAACAAATTGTCTCTAGAGTACTCGCCTTGTCCTTAGGATTAACAAAACTCTACTAAATGTTCTTTAGAAACATGATTTTTTTAAAACAATTAGCTTTATCATATATATCAATATAACTACATGGTACGCTCTGAAACCCTTTTACTGAATTTCTTTCTCGAAAAAAATGGAAGATATATTCTAGTTTTTGTAGGCAAAATAAAAACAGTTCTCCAAAATTTATGACAAGTAAAAAGCATAGAAACAACATAACTTCTGGAAAGATTACAAGTCAGGGTGGTGATAATGTTTGTAGGGGTAAGTAAGTGCAAGTTTTCTATGTGGGAGATGCATGGATGCATCAAGTTTTGAGTGTTGGGGGAGGAGGGGGGGGGTTACGAAGAAAAAGGCACCACTGGAGCAATGGGCACACCTGGCTAAGGACTTGGGATCAGGGGTCAGAGGTTATGAAATATATAAAATATTCACATCTTTTCCATTGGCAAATGAAATAATAAAGAATTACAATATGGGTTGCTTAATGATTTTGGTGCAGGATTCACCATCAGAAATCTACATCAGGTAGACATCAATTCCACTCCCCCTATCTTCTTCTTAATGTGATTCACACTTTTTTCTGCTCCTTTTTTGTTAGTATCTGGTCTATTCTTGGAGAAGCCAAATACTTGTGGTAAATTTGGGAGCGTGTCTGTTGATTATGCATCACTTGCTGAGGAGGGGTGGGGAGGGGAGAGGTGGAGAAAGGGGGGTGAACAGTTGCAGTTTATCCTCTGGCATGTCTACATACATGCATCATTTGGTTTTAAAGTAGCATTTGTCAAGACAGGTCATGTCTTGTCAGACGCAAAGCTTTTTAATGGTGCATGGTGCCGGAGAGTGATATTGGTATATTCTGTCCTAGATTCATCTATTAATCCAGCTATAAGCTTTTCCTGTAATAAGCCCACCCTCTGATTTGTAGTCATATGTCATGTGTTGGCTCCCTGGGATTATTGTCCTGTAATAAGCCCACCCTCTGATTAGGAATCATATGTCATGTGTTGGCCCCCACGGATTATTGTCCTGTAATAAGCCCACCCTCTGATTAGGAATCATATGTCATGTGTTGGCCCCCAAGGATTATTGTCCTGTAATAAGCCCACCCCCTGGTTACTGCAGGATACTATGGAAAGATATTTAATGGCTTGATTTATCAATTCAAATAACATTGTGAATACAGACATTATTTCCTTTGTAATAAACCTGGAGTTTTTTTCATATGTAAATATTTACACGAAAAATGGTAAACTAAATTTCAGTATCAGTATTTGTGTGTGATATACGACTACTTAAATTGTCAAAATTACCTGCTAACCAAAATGAGATATAGGATTCTAGTTTACAAGGCTATCAAAGAGCACTTACCTAGTACAGAATAGACAGTTTTAACATGGTTCACAAGTCAGATAGCACTTACCTACAGATACAGTGCCATTAAATTGCTCAAGTCTTTTTTGTAAATCGCTCAAAAGCTGCCCAGATAAAAAATTTAGTTGGGTTTGTAGCGGTGATATTTTTATCAGTTCTGAAACTCCTCAGTAGCGATTTCCTGCTCGGTGATAAGGGATGGTCCAATCTTTATGTGCCAACATGTAGCAATGCAGAATTCTAGGGATGTTCTTTCAGAGAATGTTAGATAAATTTAGAAGACATTTTGTATTTTCTTCGAAACAGTGTAACTTTATTACTTCAGATTTCATGAGAACAATGTTACCTTATTGGCCAGCATTCTTGTGTATGTCCAGACATTTTCAAATAAAACATGTCAAAAAATTGAGAATTATTGGAGTAAAAAATTTGTTAAAAAAATTTATCTGGAAATAAATTTGGGACTTTCATCTTTAAATTTGATCATTTGACTTATAGATAGCTGGAAATTATCAACACAGTAGTAAAATTTTCTAAATCAAGAAACATACTAACTTACGTCCCAGCTTGATTTGCTATGTTTCTTAGAGAGAAACCCTGCTTCTATGTTTTGGCAAGATTTTTTTTCGATCCTGATGAGAAATGCATTGCTTTCAGAAAAGTTTATAAGGTATGATATTAATGTAAACAAGACGCTGAGCTTTCGGTGTGTATTTGTATACATGTGCAGGGTGTGGAATGACCATATTGTTTGGGTAACATCAACAGACAGAACTAATTCTGTTGATATTTAGAGTAAGTTAACATATAAACACTGATATCTGGGAGATAGACCCTGGCTTGTGTGATACATCAGCAGACTTTAATTAAATCTCAGTCTTCCTGTACTATACATAGTCAGGATCAGACCATAATTTCAATTTTTGTCCGAATGGTGGAAAGCTATGAACTACATAGGTACACATCTTTCGTCCAGGTAATCAGGGTTTGATTCCTCAATCGGACGTAAACAGGTTTTTTCTACCACACTTAGGTCCTGTTGAATGATTCAATCTGTGTGAATAAGATAGACTTTCATGGGTTTATATAACTTGCTTCACAACTTTTTGTAGACTTGAGAACATTATAGATTCTGTGATAATTTACCAACTTAGCCTGGTATCTATAGAATTTATCACTTCTAACGATAGAAAAGTAACAATTCTGTAGATTTTTTTCATGTACAAATAGGAAAACGTATTGAACAAGCATACGATAAGGCAGAAAATTTTGAAAATACAGAATATTGATGAATGTTCGGAAAGTCTAAACTGGGTATTTTTATCACGTAGAGATGAGGCTAAAGGTGTCCGTAGGTAGAAATAGAATGTCTCTGATTTTATGAAGCATTGACAGAGTTTGTGGTAAATTCTTGTATACCTGTAGAACTGTGTTTCTGCCAGGAATGTTTGAGTGTCAGAGATAGTAGGATGTTGGGGGGGAGCATCTGAGAGCCCTAGCCTGGTAGACATTGGTGCCTAGTGGGGTATATAGATACACACTCGGCTTGCTCATCCTCACAGTGGTGGGGGGGACTGTCAGGTACCACGGCAACACAACCACTGTACACGACTTCATTACCGAAGAGTTCCTGGCAGTGTGTTGTTGTACTCCTGGGGGAGTGGTAGTGGTATGTCTGTAGCCAGAATCCATAGTGTACTTAATAGTGTATACTTCTTACCTTCATGTGAATCTTATAGCACAAACCTATTGGATTGAACTTTTACTGGATAAACACTGAATTCTTCTTAAACACATATGTTCCATTTCTGGATTTTATCACTTGTGTGAAATAAACTAAATCCAGAAAAAAGAGTTGAAATGTGATCAGTTTTATCCAAACTTAATATTTTTTTCCAGATTTTTTTTTCTGTTTCGAAAGTGTATAGGATTCTCATCGCGTCTGGATGGCTATATTTTCGTAACATTTTATGTGAGTGATTTTTCGTGTGTCTCCAAGTTTAAGTTGTCTTATCTAAGGATACAGACCTGACTTGGAAGCAAATTTCCTTCTCAAGTTCTTGTGATTTCTGATTGTATTCCAAGCAGGTGACTCATATTGTACAGTGTTGTAAGCAATTATGTTCCAGGATTTACCTCCTAAGATCAAACTTTAAGACACTGTTTGTCTGGCACATTGCTGCCAAAT